GACTGGCAAGTTTTTGCTTCAAATAACATCAAAGCCCATCCCAAAAGACTCACATTACCTGAGATACGTTGCTTTGAAACATTATAGCTAGAAAAACGATAAGTATCTTCTCGACAACTAACATATATACGTATATATAACAGAGTGCTACTGGGCAGGTAGTCAGTCAGCCCGACCCGTCACAAGATCAAGGACCAACCACTGCGGACGTTACTAGCGCCTTTACCCCATTCGATTTCTCCTTTCACCATCAGCGTCACCACAAGATACTCTCTGACATCCAAGCAATCAAGCAGACATCCTGACACACTGTACAGACACACACACAAACACACACACAACATACACACACACGCAGATTCAAGTCGCATATCCAGAAAGCGGCGTTCTCTCCTTGTAGCGTTCGCAGATCTGGCGAATCGGCATCGGCCTCATGGCCACTGATATTCAACAGGGCCAACGATTAGGCGAGCGGCCACAAATGTCGTCTCCCTCATCTCTTCTCCCAGACCAGGAACAGCCACCAGCAAAAGCGTACGTAGAAACAGAGAAGGAGAGTGACTCTAGCCGCGACTGCAGCGCGCGAAGTCAGAACCAGTCTGCGGATATCCCTAGTGTATGCATACATCTGTATCGTGGGAGTGAACGCTCACGTGGGCCTGCCGCCGCTGCCCTCGTTACTGTGCCGGTCGCGTTTTTGCTTTACTAACCGGCACCAGATCGTCGCCCGCTCAAAACTTTTCTGTCGGCGTATATGCAGCGGGAATCGAGGACCCAACACTCCAATAACAATCCATGCCGATGAAACAGTAAATGGAGGCGCTATGGCATAGCAGTCAGTAGGTTCACCTCTAACGTACTACACCGCCATCTAAAGCCATCTTGGTCTGCCGACATAGCTTGACTCAGTCAGTCGCTTTCAATTTCTGTGTCAGCGTACGTCGCCATACATGTTCGTGTATTTAACTTTCGAAGTGATCTGGCGTAAGACGCACCGAGAGACAGGGCTTGCATCGTACCTGAGCTAGCGGCAAATAAGACTGCCCAATGGCAAGATACTACTCGCAGCCACCTCCTTTGCTGGTCGGCGATACACTATAGAAGTGCTCATTGCGGTGACACCTGGCGGCAACAATTTGCGTGTTTACTTGTGTGGTTCTTTGTGCGCGTGTGGCTCGACGACGCTTCTTCACTGTTTCCCCCTTCTGCTCCGTCTGATCAGCTTGGCGTAGCCAGCGGTTTACATCTACAGCACGGAGTGGCGAGGATGACCGTTTAATCTCAGCAGTACTAGAGGACGTGGTGTTCTTGGTGATACTCGTAGTTGTCACCGTCGTCAACTATCGATGTAAGTCGACCAGGCGAAGACCTCTGTCCAGTCACAGTAGCCACCAACTGTTCCCCCGATAAGCGTTTGCTTTCGATGCAGCGTTGCTACATACCTTGTTTTTGGTGGGTCGGACTACACTGACGGTGCTTCTTATTTTGACGCCCAGCTCACCGCCACGACCGACACACGCCCACCACCGTCTACAGCATTTGGCCGGTCCACCACTATCAGCAAAATTCGCAGAGTGAATCATTTACACTCTCACTCCGCTATCAATAATTCGCTATTTTGACATTGAACATAGCCGCCACGACGAACAGCGCGTTCGATATAACTTTATTCCAGATGATTGGAATCGCGTCCATTGACTAGTAAAACTTGTGCCAGCTGGAGTGGTTTGCAGATACACCTATGAAGAGCAACTAAAATCGTCTCAATTTCGCAGAATCAAAACGAACTAATCCGATCTAACGGATAGAGACTCTGAAGTTGAGGTGTCAATATATCTTATTCACTGGTTGAGTGCGGATCTTAGCAGCGGTTCAGTTTCCAGCGAAGCGTAAAGGCTTTTAAGCTAAAGAGGCGCATCGTGTGAACGGTTCCTTAACAATCGCGTAGGGACACCCACAAATGTTAACGTACAGTGGGCTGTCATAAAGTTAAAGTTATTGAGTGTTACAGAACAGTACTTTGCACCATTGTAGGTGTACCTTCGGGCTGTCGGCCCTGACGTATCAGCTGATTATCGGAATAAACCGCCTATCGTAGAAAGTGCTTAGCTCGCTTGCTTTAACAGTGATGAGGTTCAAGCAGTAGAGTGCGGCTGAAAAGGTTCGGGATATCTGTGGTGCAGGAAAAACGAGATTATACTGAACGCGCGTCTTTATCGGAATCCGCTAACTATTCATCCAGAAAAGCCCGCTATCGGATGCCTTCAAGTCCAGTAAGCATCGAAAACAGACATTTCGATTTGGACAGAATTGGAAATCTGTGCTGTTTGTGCTAAAGTCAGCCAGTTTGCGATCAACGTGAAGGACCAATTATAGAACAGAGAGAACTATTCATGATTTCAAGTTGTAAAATTTGTATTTACCAGTAAAACGTGTTAATTTTTCAAGATGCTGTGGATAAGAATTCATTTCAATACGTACTGATGTGAAACACCGTGTCCATACACGAAGTCCGTACTCGCTATTAATTTAACTAGTCCAAATAAACATCGTCTTTTGTAAGCAATATATTAAAGCTAAATGTACCGATGATTGACAATAGAGCTTTTTCAGGATCATCTGTTTGTACATCACAGTTCCAATAAACACTGGCCATACATATCTCGAGTAGACAAATCTATTGCAAAGTTAGAAAAATTCGAAATAAAGACGCCTTTGCAGCATTTGTCATTGTTGACTGCTCCAAGGCTGCCATTAGTGTTTCATGCAGGTAAACAGGGCAAGTTATAAAACAGCGGCAGCACATTCGCTGCTCTACTATAGCTAACATGTAATAGACTAGATACACTACCTATATGAAAGGCTATTTTTCAGCACTCTGCTGCGGACCGTTCTTTTGGTAGATCCTCAAAACACTGTTTGACATCCATCTGGACATTATTGATGGCTGTATAATGACTGTCTCGCGTTGTGGCATCCAGCCTGTTAAATTAAGGTGCTTTTTTCCAGCTTTAGGCTTATGTGGTCTTAATGTTGCCGATAGACCTTAATCGCCTACAGGCACCCTCTCAGACATTTTGCAAGGAGGAGCCTTGTGTCCACTTTCGGGCAGCTAAAAACTTCTGTGAGCTGCTTCGAATAGAATATTTGTACTGTCACAAATATCACAAACTCAAGGGGGTAATGGTGGGGAGCGAAAGTCTTCTCATTGAAGAAGTGATAAAGTTCTCACATGTCGCTTTTGTTGAACTCAAATCTAAGTGTCTCCTCCTTAAATCTAAACTGCACAGAGGCAAAATTCGACTCGGTGTGTTTTTACAGTGAGTTATGCGCAATTGATACTAAGATGAGACAATGCCAAAAGCACATAAATCAATCTATATGTAGCAAACATGCATGTGAGCAGACACTCATAATATAGCTTATTTATTCAATGCTACCCGCCGAAAAGAAACTTTAACACTCTAACTAGTTGTTTTTATTATTTACTGCTAGTTGCTATGTTACACCAGAATAGTAAGTGTTGTAAATAACTTTCGATTCGTTTAAAATGGACGTTTACACGTAAATCAGTTCAACATGAAAGCTATGTATCTTTACAAGGGTTATCATCTTCCACCAAAATGGATTTATGTCCTCGTCAAGAAAATTGTTGAAAAGTTTTGTAGCTAGGCCATTGCGTACGGGCTTATTAAGGGGAATTGATGTTGTGAATTGAGACGTGATGATTTTTAATTTAAGCATATCCCTTCGCCTTTCTATGGCACCTTACAGTTACAAGTACACGAAGTGCACGATTTCGGACCTGCAATATCAAAAAAACTGACCTTAAGCAAATTTTGAGCAAACAATTGTTATCTCTTGTGGCTTTTTCGTGACATTAAGCTTGCTGATTAGCATAAATATATATACCATGTCCATCATTGGTTATTAGCAAGTTTTCTACCCTTTGCCCCGTTTACTTTTTGCTTCTCAGCCATTACTGATTTCAACTGCAGCCTTGACCGCTTTTCTTCAGTTCTGTTCTTCAGTTGGCAGCTCGATTATATGATCATGACATTACGATTTATCGCGTGAAAATATAGGCTAGTTAAGTTTATTTATCGATGCTCTTGCGTGTCTACCAGTTTACTCAATATGTTCGCTGGCTTTGTCTAACGATTATATAGATCTGCGATGAGTAGTTGACATTGCAACACCAAACCACTATAGATAACCTAAACTGACAAACGCCAACAGAAACTAACAGACGATATGTGAAATATATTGCACGTTTTTCGTGTAGTTAACGGAGAGGGTTCTTAATATCGAAGATATTTCTCCATGATTCTGATTTTTTCGACGTTCGACCAAAATGGACGCTCAACTCATTCTATTGTTGGACTAGTCCTTCATCATACGAACATCAATGCAGGGCACTGTTCTACATAATATGGCCATTGGTTTATTATTATTGCTTCAGCTAACTGTTGACTATGAGTGTCTATGGCCGAGTAGCATGCAGACATACTGGTCAACATAGATTCGATACCAGTGCTTGAGGTAACTATCGGACGACCGGTTGCCATAAGGAAGTTCGTTACGAAATTGTGGCGTTAATGCGGCGAAAGGCTGTACAAGCAACAAGCAGCAACTTGTCTCGTCTCAGCACTGACATTGATCTGAGACCTGAGAAAGTTTTACCTTGTTTTATATCAAGATTGGAACTAACCATTACAAAAACATGTCTGAATCTCCCACTAACCTTGAGAATATCAATCAGACGAAGTTGATGTATAGTCATGTCGTTCGGAACGTCCGTCGAAGCACTTCACTGTGAATAGCATCTTATATTATTGTGGATGGATTTGCACTTTGAACGTCGCCAGTTCCGCTTTTTCATTTAATTTTCCTGTTTGCAAAGGCATCACCATATGATAACTACTTAGTCCGTAACATCTATCAGTAACATTAAGAAATTGTTATACCTAATAACGATATTCGTTTTATGTCTGTTTCAGCTTAGTGCAAAGTTAGTCGTCACAAGCCTGATAGGCAACTCGTAGCCCGAATTGTCCACCCGCAGGTACACAAACAGACAATTACATCAAAATTTCGTCAGTAAAATTAATTTCGTAAGCAGTCGATATATATATATATAACTCTGCATATTCAACTCTATCTATATACTGCTGTGTCACTTTGTACCATTTTTAATGAAAATACTCTGAATCATACTGAAAAGACGATGCCTTCACGGTATGAATAGAGATATAAATATACATCTATAGTACATGACATGCGTGGCCAATATCAGCACATGGACAGGCACATATACGCACTACCCTACTATCGTAACATAAGATATTATTAGTATAAATCGTAATTGTTTTTTCAACACAATCCATGTTAACAGTAGACGTGACGCATTTTCAATTCTACTATTTGATATTTGTCAAAGCGTACTGACATCCATCCGTATTTAATCACCTCGACTTTAATCAATTTCTATTCATTGTCAGATCCTGTACATCAAAAAGGTTGTCAATTTGTAAAGCATTATGAGTGATATATAGAGGCAAAATTAGCTAACGCAGGGAAAAAAAACACCGAAAAAATACATAATTGGGCATATGAGTGCTCCCGGACGCGCGGGTCGACCCCAGCTCCAGGAAAGCTATTTTGAATAGCTAAATATTAAGGGCTAGGCAACGTCAGCCAATAAACAGACGCAAACGAAGCTATTAAGCTCACATTAATCAGAAAAAACGAGCCAGAATCAAGTCCAGCCGCAACGGGTGCGCTAACAGCGAAAATGACAATGGAAGCATTACCGGGTGACCTCCAGCCAGCTGTGATCAACGTTCGCGACCAGCTCGACGAAGAGATCTTGTACAACAAGGTAAGTTGAAGGAGGAAGACTGTTCTAGAAAGTGACTGAGTAGAATATAAAGCGTTCTGCTACGACAGAACGGAATATGCCCGCAAGATATTGTTATCACAAGGTGAAAAGAGGTGACAAATGTGGCTATTTTTTTTTATAGTTAGCACAACATATAGTTTCGGATTGGGCTCTTCGCGTGACGAGTAGGATTTGCGAGCTTCAGTTCTGACAGGAAAGGGCATTTGATATGTATCCAAGCGCCGGCGTGTCAGGAGAACACTAATAATTTAGCTATATTTCAGTGTAAACGCATTAAATTATAAGACGATTTATCATTAAATTACGTGTCTCCTCAAGACTCAAACAATATCAACGAAAGCAACGTCGGTGGTAACAGCCATGATAAGGACGACGAAATCAGCATCCACTAGTGTACACGTTCGTGCGTTGTTCGACAACGAACTTGGCGATCTTCTGCTCTGCCTGCGCCTCTGTCTTCTACACAACACGAAGAAAAATCAACACACGATGATGGTAGCTAAGCTCATAAGCCATCGAGGTACTATGCCCATACGAGCTTATTAACCCTATGACAAATGGCGCCGTGCTACCAGAGTTGCTATCCGCTATGCGTGGGCTGGTTCGAGAGTGACGAGTAGCTTCTAAGGTTTTAAAGACATACTTGAGTTGAAGTGTGATGGCGTGCGATGATTAGAGTAGAAGAAAAAACATCGACCTCCGCCTCGCTTGAGCGCCAGATGCACATATATGCAAATTGGTTGGCTATCTCTTATGCATTCTGTGTATGTTGAAGCCCATCAATCCAATGGCACAGTTCGATAGAGATCGATAGTTTTTTGAGGTGGTTTCGAGGTGAATCCTCGTTGCAATAGGATTTGAAACCGTAAACAACAATTTTAGCGATATACAAAAACAATTTTATCGTGGCCAAACAGAGCATATTATTCGACACAAATGGCATGCCACCTCTTTTAGGCTAAGCGATTCTTTTTTCTGTAAACCTATTACTATTTGTTTATTTCACTTATTTATTAAAAATTCTCGATGCTTAGCTTATTAGTTCGACTTAAGCACTTCTGTAGTATACAGGCTATAGAGAAGATTTACTACTCTTCTTCAATGGGATTACATCTGTGCCGGATCTTTAACAAAACATACAATTCCTCAGAAGTACTGCCATTAGTGAAACAAGTCTATTTTTAAATAAGTTGTTGGGAAGTTGAAAAATCGTTGTGTCACTATCGCGGTGTTTCTTTTTAACTTGTTTTGGATAATAATAAAACATTATTTCACTGCCCTTTAAAATGGCCTGCCTTCTAAAATTAGTTCGTGTGAAAAATTTTTAAACGGCGACAATGAATCAAAATAACAACACGTGACTCCCTGAGTGTACCAGTGCACTGCAGTAAATTTGTACGCAACCAATACGATTTACTAAAGAAAAATTCAATCATTCTTTTAACATTGTGTGGTTTACAATCTATTGTTCTATCATACTCTATCATAAACAAGTATCCATCGTTAAGAGAACGTTTCATGGTGGCAAACGAAGTCAAAGGATCGTCTGCTCTCGGTGGCTCGGACTCTGTCAGCTGCTTTACAATGCTGTAATCCGTGGCTAGTGGATATTAGTTAGGTAGAGCTACCGTCGTTGTTCAAATTTGAGCGGTAATGACTACAAACACTAGGTTAAGTTGGTATCTGTATCGTCTTCTGAGTGGAATCGAACACCAACTATTGTAGCATAATGGTATTCTGCCTTTAGGTACCGCTTTGTGCCAATGCGTATTGCGGCCTTGTACGCTGTTTGCAACCAGCTGTGCTATATGCTTGAGGAGAAGACTTTCGCGCTGTAGGCTTTTAAGCCCGTGACTTAACACAGGTTAAAAAATGATCAGTCCGATTGATCGCCATTGGGACGAGCCGCTCAAACATGCTGTTGACGCATGTGAAATCCTCGAGGATGCGTGTGGTTTTTTTTCGGTTAGCACTTGTCACTTTCGTTTCGTCCACTGTTGTTTATAAGTTACTAGTTTGTGGAATAGTGCAGTTGTGTTACGACGTGTCTAAAACTATTTTCAGTTGGATTCTTGGTGACGCTTATAAAACTGTACATTTTTTAGGTAGTAGTTGTGTAAGTAACGTATGTAAGTTACGATAGTCTAGCTTTTGATCTCAGTCATCGTATCGAAAGCACCAAGCTGAATACAATATCTTAACTATTTATAGGAGAGCCCTGAGTGTTAACTAATTCATCAGCTTTCCATGTGTGGCAATGTACAGCTTTGCTTGGATTACTTGTTTCGAGATCCATCGTAATGGATCTTTTCTAGGCCGACTTCCGAATTTTCTAATCGAAATGTTCAACGATGAGTTGGCAAAAGGTGCAATTTTTTCATTAGAAAGTCACTTTGAGCAATAAAAGTGATGCAATAGAGACACGTGGGATCCTACTCACCCTGCGTAGAAGAACACCGTGTATTTTATCACTTCATTTACCGTATGACCATAATTGTTTGCTAGCGCCTTAGCTAATTGGGCAGGCTTGAATTTCAGAAAAGAAATGCAGATGATTTCGTCAGCTTGGACAACTCTTCAAGTTCGAATAAACTTCTAGAGAACCTGAATAGGCTACGCAAAAACAAGCAGTTCTGCGATGTCATCCTACAGGTTAGAAGCAATTCTCAGAAGTAGAGCAACAACGAACTGTATATAATATACATAAATTCATCCTTTAGTTGTATTTTTTATGTGCAAATCCTGGAATACTTTCACACCGTAATGTGTTTTATCTATATACATACGAAAAGCATAGTTTAGCTTACCGGTTCCTCGAATTTTTTCGCTTTGGAAGGTTTCATCAAAGGTGGACTTTCACGAGGTCCATTGTCACAGAGCTGTAGTCGCCAGCGTATCGCCGTATCTGTTCGAGGTAAACAAAACGCGTTAGCTGAAAAATATTCGTGCACATTACTTAGTAGATTTTCAGAAATATTTATATGAGATAGTATGAACTCACTTACCCATTGCCTCAATGCAGCTTTAACGTGAAACATCTTCTTTCCGATGTTCGACATTCCTCTTAACATGATACAGCGTTAACTAATGTAAGACTTTGTAAAAAACGAATCATTTAGACGTTGTCTTGCTTGTTCCTTGTAGGCATGGGTTGGCCATTTGTAGACCCCAGGAAACGAACTAGAATGTTATCTGTACTGATTTACAGCTTTTCGACCAGAGGCTCAAAAGCGGCACGGCTGATCGTGCTCTTACAGATCAATGTACGCTTCCTGGTGAATTTGATATGGATGTCTTTGAATCTCTCATTGAGTACGCGTACACAGCGAAACTCGATTTGCCGAGACAGAAACTGCGATCGGCGTACCTCACGGCTGCAAAACTAAGGGTATATAACAATACTTTGACCGGTGACCCTCACATATCCGTGATGAATACTTTTAATTACTACTATTTTTTTATCATCTTCAATTCGTAATTAATTAGTGCTTATTGTTTGGTATAATTATCTCACTCCAGTTGTTAATTATAATATTTACACGTTTGAGGTTTTTGAGCATGAAACTAGTATATGTTACGATTCGACTATGAGGTAAATTTTATGAATGTATCTTTTTTACAGATAACTCCCATTGTTCAATTTTGTGGATCTCAGCTGGTGTCTAGTTTGACTCCTGAAAATTGTCTGGGTATTCGAGCCGTTCTCCTGCAGGCGTCCGCCTCTTGCCTCCAACCGGACCAGATTTCTCTCATTAGCAAGCTGGATTCCTTCATCAAACATAACGTAAGTTGAGTCAAGATTGGATGAATCCATTTGGATGACGTCTATTCGGGTCGCATTCGTTCTTGCATTCTAATGAGAATCTAGCTGGGCTTTTATCTTTGTCAAAGCACTACGTAGAAGATACTAAGGAGTCCTTATTGAATTTAAACTGCAGATTAATGAGGTGCTGAAGAGTAGTGAGCTGTCTGGTCTTAGACACATCCAAATGGAGCTGATTCAGAGTACCTTGGTGGAGATTGAGTCAACCAATGAGCGTCACCTATTTAAGATGTTACTTGATTGGCTACGCGTTGGTTGGGCGCGTGACGGTGAACTCAACATGGATCGGCTCACCGAAAAGGTATACACGCATCTCCGACGAGATCACTGATCCTTGAATAGTAAAGCTTAACGTCAGGTTTTAGTGACCTTATTTTCGGATGTGATAGTCGCTGTTCCTAAGCAAAGAAGCTTGTCGATATTAAAACCTAAGCGTAATCTGGAGCATATTCTCAAACCGCGTTCTCAGGTGCACATGCTTTACTTAAATCGGGATCGTACGCTACATGATTGTGTGGATATCGAGAGCGGAGACGCCCGTGACTCTGAACTTGTCCAAGACTACAAACGACTATCGAAGCGGCTGAACCAGGCGCAAGGCGGTGAAAAAGTCGGTTACGCCCAAGCTGAAGTGCCAGCGGTTTCGGCTTCTGGTGATCGAGTGATGCTCGGCCTAAACAATAGTCATAATAGCGGCAAAACTAGAGACTCGTTTAAGATGCGGAACGGCCATGGAAACGCATCCAATAACGTGCCCACTAAACCTAAGCAATTCCTCTTCACTCGGTCAGATTCGTCGAGCTCTAGTGACGAAGAAGAATACGACTGGTAAGGGATATTAGATCTGAACCTAACCGTAAGGCTTATAATGTTATGCCAAACAACTAGTTTAGCCAATTTGATAGGTAGTGTGGCCAAATAAGGCGTATGAGGCGATATGCAAAGGTTCTAAAATCGTAAACCTATCGGTTTCGCTTTGCAGTAATTTCCGGGTAGTCGCTACTGCACCAACGGGTGTACATTCGACAATGGGCCTCGCCATTGTTCAGTCTGAAATGGTCCTTCTTTCAGTTGTACGACGTCTTAACAACAATATAAACAATAACTCCAATAACCAGAGCACCGGCAGCAATAGTCAGAGCGATCACGGGGGATCACCTAGTAATGAGTGGTCCCCTGACCATACCGCTTCGTCACCCAATAGCCCGCAGAATTCGAGCAACGGCCATCCTGTTCTTGAACATACTGGACTGTCAAGTAATGGCCAAACAACCCCCCCTGTCACGGCAGGTACGTGCCCATCACTTTTTTAATTAGCGGTTCACACATTGGGATACAAACTTGGAAATCTGGGAACAGCTTTCGTGCTTTTCAAACCGAAACAACTAACAAATATACATTGTAGGTAACACAAACAATAACGGTGGAGGCGGCCCACCCATGGGGCAACTTCCGGGTTCGATCGGGGGTTCGAACCAGATGTCGCCCCAGAAGTTGTATCAACAGTTACAGCAGATGTCGACATTAGCGGCCATGAATCACCAGCGATGTTCGATGGGCGTAGCTGAATTAAACGGCTCACTGTTTGTATGTGGCGGCTATGATCGCGGAGAATGTTTGCGTTCCGTCGAGCTGCTCTCGCTGTCTAAAAATCGTTGGACCCCACTGCCGGACATGCTTGTGCCGAGGGCCCGCACTAATGTCGCTAGCCTAAATGGACTCGTCTATGCGATGGGTGGTTCAGACGGTAGTCGTGATCTCGCTTCTGCGGAAGTGTATCATTCCGACCGGCAACGCTGGGAGGCGCTTCCTCCGCTACCCGTGCCACGATCTCACGCAGGTAAGTTAAAATTTGAGTACTGCCGCTGTTAAAGTTTATAGGAATTGTTGAGACGTAGGCTCTACTTTTCCGTCAAAAATTACATAATCGCATGTGCTGCGCTTGCTGTATGTGTGCGGAACATAAAAGCCAACATGTTGAGCGAATATTTTCTGTTGTCAACGGCGACTTAGTTAATTATGTCAAACGTGTACTTAAAGCTGTTTTTACAGTGCAGTCTGTCAGTATTGGTCTGAGTCACAAGAGTGCAAGGTATAACACGATGTTTGAAGAAGCCACTTGCTATGACCCGTTTCGAGCGTTCTTTCCATTCTAGAGGCCTAGAGTCAAATTTCGACTGCCCTATGTCGTAGTTTTCTACGCAAATTTATCTAGTTTTATCCCCTACTTTGAGGTGGGTCTTTATATTTGTTTTCAATTTCTGACATGCGTCTTTATATCGTAGTCGAGAGATTGACTATTGCTCGGAAACGGCGTATAGTGCAATTTGTTTCGCCAAGGTTTGCTGATAGCATTGTTTAGGCAGGCCTGATTCTCAAGAGGCTATTTCGATCACCCCCTGCCAGTAAAAATAGAGCAATATAGACATATAATTTAAAAAAAAAAGCATTTTTGTTATGCTTTTGCGAAATGCTATTGATACTTATAAATTTAAACCTATGAATATATGCGATGAGCTCTGTTCCGTCAACCATGTCGGTAGCTTGCGTGTATCCCTATAGGTTAGTGAGAGCACGCTTGTGCCCTTCTGTGATCAACGTACCGGAACGTGCCAACTTTGCAGTCGAGCCGCGGCGGCCCTTGGGATGCAGTTGGGTTTGTATGAAATCCGGGTTTGCCATTCTTCGACACTTTCATATGAATTGGATGCTTGCCTACGACTGTTGCGGCGATAATTGGTTAAGACGTTGATGATAACCATGTTGTGTTTGAATAATGACCGATTACCGAGTATTAAGCGAGTTCTTCCCTCGTAACAGGCCTGCCCACCAGCCCTTCGGTGACATCCCTGCCGGTCGCTCGCCACTCGACCCAGCGACTAACGTTCCCGTCCACTCAGTGAACTACTAGCGATAGCAACATCTTTAGCATATCCTGTGAGAAGACAGATTCAACCCAGGCTGGATTCAACCTTAAAGCGATTGTAAAGCGTAATGAACAACAGTCGATACCAAACTGGTCTTGACGCTTGTTCATTTATAAGAAATCCTAAGGGCAACTAGCAGCATCTTCAGCTAATCAGCGAACGTAAATCGCTATCCGATTCGAACCAGTCGGCGAACGTGAGTGGAAAGCCTTGAAAGCTATTGAGAGCCTAAGAGTAAACATAACGCGCACATTGCTAAAGTTAAGATAGTGGACGGGAAGCGGTTAAGCGTCGGGTAAGCGACAAGGTGAAGGCGAAGTCAACAGAAGAACAACTCTAACGCGTGAGTCACCAGAGATCCAGAGCTTCAGAAGAGTTATATTCAGCGGAGAAACGAAGCGATGTAAGTGAAACGGGAACTGAAGAACTGGAAGGATCGCAACGAAATCATGTAGATTTCGAACAAGATTATCGAAATCAAGCTACTGTATCCAAGGCCAACGAGGGTACAGTTAAGCTGCAGGTGGTGTGAAGCTTCTAACGACGACACTGATATGTAATATATTACAAAGCAGAATTCTGCTTAAGGGCGCTGAGACGTACCTAATGAGGTAGAATATTTGAATAGAACATTCTTGCGCGTAGGATATTTATCAGAAGATGAATTTGCTACTAGATAATTCACGGGACTCGACAAGAACTGGTTTGATATTGATACTTCAGTCGCTTTTAGTTTATTGCAAGCCATAGAAGCTGATTAGTTCGCTATGCGCGTAATCTTAAATTTTTTTTTCAATGTTTTGAAAACTTAGCCGAATTCCTTTCGCGGGAAACAAATTTCTGGCAAGTATTAGCCACCTGTTCTATGCTCTATCGGTAATCAAGCACTTCATTCTCACTTCATGAGACCAGTTTGCGTTTGAGTGTCCTCATTTTAACGTCCCCGCGTCCTTGAAAATACATCATGAACCTTAATGAGCAAACCAGCTGCTGCGTCATATCTCTGCGTTCTTGTTTGTATTCAGAAGTAAAGAATTAAAATAGGATAGAGGCCATGGTAATATGGTGGTTATAAGGTTTGTATGGTGATAATCGGGCTGTATCGATATGCTAGACCTGTTTCATCTCTTCTTAGGACCGTTTAACAAGACTCAATTAATTAATTCCTGACTGGAATATATCGATCTGGTCCTTCGAAGTACTTCTCGTTGAGGAGTCATTTGTTTTGATTGCTCGTTCAATGTTTTTAACTCTCATGATTATATCTGGGGATTCCTATAACTAAAGATAGGTGTTCAGTTTCCACACAATTGCGACTTGATTCGTTCGTAGTTTTACTATAATTTATTACGTTGTTCACAGCGAACGATCACCTCAGGGTATGCTCTAATTGTTCAGATGACTTGGCCTTAACAGCAGAGCCGTTTTGAAGATTAATTTAGAGCCAAAACTCAGCAACTCGTTTTCGCCCGGGGATAGTCTAAAGCACTGTCGGAAGTTCATTGTATAGTGCATTCACAACTACCTAATTGAAACTTGAAAGTCAAGTAAATGCTGCTATCTTTTAAAAACATGATGCACGCATTAAAAGCTGCTTTTCTCGGATGAAATTATATCATTCCATTTGTTGAATATTGGATTTCACTAACCTGGCTAAGCTGATACTTCTTCGTTAAACACGGTTATAGCTTCGAAACAGAGCCGTTATATCTCGGCAGGCGTCTGGACGTTTCAATAGTGTGTAGCAAGCATAGGAAAGCTTTGAAACAGCTTGTAGGTGGATATATCCGATCCAAGTTGTATTTGAATACTGAGTTACTTGGAAAATAGTCTTTCAAAAATAGTCACTGATCCAAATCGAAGTATCCGTTCACTCGATGGATGGGCCGGACGCTGAAAAGTCAACCAGATGTCCCATTCTGAGCGTTTGAATGAAGTTGATACATCTTGTTCCCGTCTGCTCGGTTGGATCTTCCGCCGGGTATGACTGGCTGACTGTTGCTTGCAGGTGTTTGCGCCTTGAACGGAAAAATTTACGTTATCGGAGGCTGGACCGGTGCCGGACAAGATGGAATGACTCGGGTTGACGTTTTTGACCCGAAAACTGCTAGCTGGGATACCATTGCTGGGCTCAATATCGGACGGTGAGGAAGACTTCATATATGCTTGTTAGCTCTTTGAAAGATGTAATTTGACCATTTATACAAAAATATATATACCCATAGTTTGCTTCCGTTCTATACAAAATTCCAAAACATATTAAATGGATCATATTGAAGCTTCAACTATACTAAAATGACGTGATTCAACCTGGAGGATTTGAGTATAAAAAGTCATAAAAAGCAATAGCCTTCAGTACAATAGTATATATGCTATCGAAAACTGTTCGACACATCTAGTTCTCAAGCGGGTGTAGCTGTTATGAACGGTTGTATTTACGTATTGGGAGGCTGTGAAGCTTGGAATTGCACACCAAGTGTTGAAAGGTACTCTCCCGAGGAAGATCGTTGGATACTCTGCGCGCCGATGCAGTCAGCTAGGTAAGTGGACACTTCCGTTCCCGTCCTCATTTAATGCTGTTACCACATGCGCAGAGGTCACATGAGATAAGTAAATTTTAGTCATGAATGCCCATCGTGTACGTGTAACCTATTTGAAGAGTTTGGGTCTAACAACACTATTCAGTTGAAACTAGTGTAGTTTAGTTAATGCATTTTTATATTTGTATACATAATTGAATCGATATTTATTAAGCTGATGATTTTCTGACCGCCTTTCAGGCGTGGTTGTGGAGCCGCTGCGTTAAATAGCCGACTCTATGCAATTGGTGGGCACGACAGCTCCCGGTCGCTCTGCTCTGTTGAGGTACATAATCGTTCTACCTTTCACATATCTAGCCTAGAAGCTACTTGCGTTGTGTTACATTGTTTCTCGTAATCTAGCCAGTTTTTTTAGCGGTCCTATTTTCATGATCTCATGTAATCGAGAAACTTTAAAGGCCAAGAAATACTGTAATTGTTAGAATAATTAACAACAGCATCATACCTTACTTGAAATCCTACCTTACGTACTATGTAAGTATATTTTTTTTAATTTTGTTATTTTTGACTTTACATGTAGATTTACGATGCTGCCACGAACACGTGGACGCCTGGACCCGCACTCACCACTTGCCGGTTAGTATTTCATGTTGTTCTTCACTGAAGCATTAACTAACAACCCATAATTCCAATCAGCTAAAACTAATCTACATTTTTTGTACTACGACTATGCATACTTCCAAGGAAATAATGGTTTAGGCTGATGAGAATCACACAAATGTTCTAATTTTCTGTCAGAAGATCAGAACATTCATGTACATGGTGTACGAAAGTGCGACACAGTCTCAGGTTTTGTCTACGTCTCTTGTTTTAGCGCGAATGTTGGAGCAGCCGTGGTTCGCGGCCGGTTACTGGCGGTGGGAGGATTCAACGGGAAAACTTTCCTGAATACCCTCGAAACTCTTGATTGCACCCCTGTCGACGACGACGGCGAACCCGAATGGACAGTCTTTGTTGACCGACAGACGTGGCTCCTTGATAACACATCACACGATCAGTCTATTAGACAGCGTAGTGAGGAAAACCTTCAGGAAACCCCTGATGAATCCTCTCGCGATGGCGTCATCGCGTTAACGCAGGTTGCCGCCGCAACGGATAATGCGGCTGCTCCTCAACACTACAATCAAGTAAACGACGAAGATGAAGATGACGATGAAATTGATTCTCATAAGGAAATTGACGAAAGCGATGAAACTAAGAATGGCACATTGAACGCCAGTAACCGGGACTCGCGGGAGAGCTCTTCCGGTATTAGTGGCTGTTAAGCGAGCGATGCTGCAGTTTCTGCGACGACCCGTCACACTCCGCCATCAACTACAATAACAATACAATAGCCTACGGAGTGAAGTGAGATACAACATAATTCCAGATGAATAACTTGAGAGAAGCAGAATCTCATATAAACACTTTTAACCTTTTTCGCAAGTACGTGCATTATAATGGGTATGGTATAATTAATGACCAATCGCAGTAGAATGATTTGGTGGATATCTAGAGTCGACGAGTACGCGTTCAGCGCGTGTGCTAGTGTTAGATCTCGTATGGGTCTAAAACCTTCCGCGATATAGCAGCGGTCGGTACTCAGGTATTTCCATTCAAGCTGACAAGAACGAAGTAGATAATCCAACCATGTAGCGACCGTCTGAACTTTCTCGACTTCTGAAATGAGATATAATCGGCTCAGCATGACAGAAACCTTGGCCGACTTCAGAGGCTGATCATTACGAGTACCAACGGCGCGAAAGAATACTGTTCCAACGTCACCTTGCATGGCTATATATGAGCAGCTGGATTTTGAGACCGAAGGAACACGGCGGAGTGGCGCTGTACCTCATTCATGTTTAATGCACTACACACATCCTGTCCTTTTACCTGACCTGAATCGTCGCCTTACCCTTGTGAGATCGGCTACGTCATTATGGTACCATCGTTTCCCTCTATATACTATTCAATACTAACATAGTATTATAAAATAATACCGTAATGGAGAAAGTCGTACTATGGGTAAAACGATTAACTACGGTATCTATCGCTGACTCACTATAAGTACCTTGTGCTAAGAATCCATTGTTAATTAATGGAAAGCGTAACACGAGATACATAGACTTGTAGTATAGTTCTGTCCTTGATGAGGTGTCAAAAGAAATGGGGTAGAAACGGACAGTCTGTGTAGTGGTGATTATCCCGTAACGCTAGATAAAATTTCTGATTACAGTCATCAGGAGCCAGTTCCAACCAAAAATATTAGCCGAAATGAAAAGAATCCACTATTATTATCATGATGATTATAAATAATCGAAAAGCGTCGCACTCCTCGCGGTAATGCTTAAAAGGGAAGGAAACGACTATATTAATTCCTGATGTTGTCATAGAGGATATACTGTATCACTACGTTGCCGCAAGTGTATTTAAAATTCAGAAAGAAACCTTCGAGAGTTGGAGGACCATAGTTCTCTTAGTGATCTTTCGGTAATAGCCATCACCTGCATCAAACGCATTGTAACAGACACGATTAGTTTAGACAACATCATTTTAAATTTTGAAGAAAGCCACCCTCAGTAAATTCACAACGTAATGGTGTTTGGTTTTTGAGGTAGAGAATACGGTTATAAAGCTACATACTGCGACGCCAATGTCGGCGACAAAAAGAGAACAAACCCTTTCTGCAATTACTGCGTAAACGTTGAAGACATCTAGGCACAAAGCATATTTAAGTTCTAGAAATGTAGCGAGGAATTGATTTAGGTTTTCCGACCTGCCTGAAACCGTACACAATAAATTAACGAACGGGCCTCATCCAAAAAATATATTCAATCGTAAGAAACAATGGGGTCTATATACAATCTCTATCAATTGGCAGAGACTAGAATATTTTGTGATCATACGTAATGTAAAACCTTAATCTTAATAGCCACATTTGTAGACATACTTCAAGGTTTTGCGTAAGGGCTTAATTGCTGGACCGTACGCGACGAGAAAACGCTCCCGGGTTTCTCACATCTGTACATGCTACAAATATGGCATGAATATTTTCGACAAATAATAGAACCGCATATATTTAGATATAATTCGATATATTCTCTGTGAATCGCGTTTGGCTCAACTGCGGATTAGCATTTCAGTATTCAACTAAAATTCCGTTAATTTGCCCCATGTCTGGCACCTAGGAAACAGTACTGACGGAACATGGAAGATTACTGTGCATGTTTTTATATGGTGATTTAAAAAGTGAATAAAAATATATCCACATACTATACGCATATATGTCAGATTATTATCCTCGGATAGAATTGGGTCATTCGACCAACAAATGACCATACTAAATGATAAGAGATGTCCGTTTTCATTTTAACGTATTGAGCTATCCGTGATATAAATGAATCTTTATAGTAAGAACGTGTCATCACACAGTGCAATCATAAGCTCATTTATTGGCCTTCTTGCATGCTTGGTTTGATATTCGATATGCACATATATTCTCAGCGATGGAACTCACTGTAATGACGAAACGACTAGTTGTGACAAAAATAACGTGAAATTACCGTTTAGGGTCCAGTAGTCATAAGATCCTTGATGATTGTCCCTAGATAGGATTAGTGATGATATTTCGCTTAGATTGACGCTTACGTTTGACTAAATAGCAAAAACTAACAGTATGCCAACCTACTATTGGTGTGGTAATCGATCGGGGGTTGTCAATCTTGTATGTGTAAAAATAGAGGGAACTTAGAAAACTATAATACCAAACCGCCGAACCGTCAGAGCCCTATGAGCTGGGTCCAACAATTTGTAAGCATTTTTCCTAAGACGAATATAACTACTACAATCAGACCCACATTGAGTTGACGGCAGATTCCACGATTAGGCTCTAGCTAACACAATTTGATAGTAGTCGTGCAGTCCTCATATGTTGATGTGGGCGATTTGGCCGTGCACAATAATAATGTCAACTTACATAAAACCCATCGAGTATTATGCAAAACAACTGCCAAACTCTGAATAAGTTCCTGGTAGTTATGGCATTAATATAGGTGGTGTTATTCTCGAATATTGAAATTCATACAATCCTGCCAGGCCACCTTTAACATAGCCACAAGAGTCCCAAACTGGATCAGAAATGTGCATGTACAATAATATATCTAAATATTTGTCATGATGGCTCATGCAGCATTACTCCTGTTGCTCCCCATCCTAATGGAAATAAAGCAATCCAATGTACCTAAGCCCTATGTGAGAAACTCCCAACGGCTCTTTGTAAGCCAGGCACATATCGAGAGTTTTTGGCTGTTACCACTGGGTCACTTGCAAGGAGCGCCGCGCGACAGTTCAGAATTTCTATAGGAAGAGGAGTAAGATGGTGCAATGCCAAAAAAGAAGCCATATATGATTTAAAAGAAATAAAAAGCAACAACATATATTTTTACGTACTGACTACATTGTTGACAACGACAACCAATCTATAACATTACATAACGATTATACAATGAAAACAAACGAACGCATTATGTAAATGGCGCATGAGACATACGATTTGCTGATGGTGATGTTTTTGCCGCTATACAAAAAAGAAATAGTGAAACGGCTTTTTGTTTCACTCATAAGAAAACCTTCTGTGACAAGAAAAACAACATAAAAATTTGCCGCTAACAGGAGAGTTATTAAGCACAGGAACAAAAAATGTTTGCTATTTAGTTATTTCAATTCCTCATAATCATTTTAAATTTTCATGGAATGACGTGATTTATGGTGAGGAAAAAGAGAGTAACATATGTTGATAAAAAAGAAAAGGACAAGGAATGGAAAGCTTGGTATCAGTATAGTAGTGAATGATGAGCCCAACCGACGACCAACTATTTCAAACGCAATGTGTTATTACATCTATATGGCATCTCTTGGATGATGAACGACCAACACTGATGTTACACAGTAACCTATTACCGACTCACATACTAAAAAATCAATCGCCCTCATTACGATGACTATGGGTTGTGCGACTTAGTAATAATAATGACATTATATATA